AAAAAAAAAAAAAAAAAAAAAAAAAAAAGCGCTAGACCACAACAACCATGTTGTCGGGTTGCAAACACAAGCACAGAGCCATGGTTCCAAAGCACAATCATAGCACAACTAGGAGGAGATTAGGGTGGGAGGGGGGAAGGGAGTTTATAGGCGCCAGGGGAGTTTGGGGGTTGGGGTGAGGCCCGTGAGGGGGGTCCGGTCAACTCAATTCAGAAAAGTCCACAGAGAAAGGGAACAGCAGTTGCACCCCTCCCCTTCCTCCTATATCCTGACTCACCAAAGGTCTCTTCTTTAAAGCGCCAGTACACCACACATCGGCCCCGCGGGTGTCAGCACGAAACCCACACCACTTCGGAGGCCGCCGACTTTTTTTTTTTCAACGGCGGCCCCACACCACACGGCCCCTCCGAGTTTTGCTTGTGGCGACAAAAACTTTCTGCAAGGCTGGGGCCGTGTGTACTCGCGGTTTAAAAAGCGAGATGCACACCTGGGGATAGATTCAGAAGTCGTGGACCGAGGAAGGCATTGGCCCGGGGCTTATTGAAAATGACATTAGCAAGTTCGAAGCAGACGAAAAAGAGCAGCAGCAGAGAGAGAATCTGGAAAGCAGCAGACAGACAAGACGCCGTGCACACGCACTCGTACCCCCATACATATAAAGTATTATAAACGCTTGAAAACTTTCATGAGCAACACCAATAGAACGGAGCACCCAGGTCTCTTACTACCGGTAGGACGGGGTGCTCTTATCACTTCTCCTAGCAAAGACACCGGGGTAATCTTAAAAAAAAAAAAAAAAAAAAAAAAATCAATCTCTTAGCCCACAGCTACGTTGGTGGCAAGAAGTCCAGGAAACCTTTATGAACACTGACTTTATTAAATTTATTAAAATTTATTTACTTTATTAAAGTTACAATGATGATAAAGACGGCGATCGACCTGGGCAGATGGGCAAACCACCTGCCCACAGAGTCACAGACTGCAGAAAAATGTTTGTGGACACAGTCACAGACTTGCAGAAAAATGTTTGTGGCAATGTGGACGTCAAAGAAAAAGTTGACGTAAGCTGAACCTGGTACATGTAAGGGACGCTGGACCCGGTTTCCAGCAGGTGCTGCTCCCCAACAATAGATGGAGCCCCCCCAGGTGCTACCAGTGTCTGCTCTTACCAGCACC